TATCATTATGGCTCCGTCTGCATCGCACATTGCTAACCGTAGCGCATCGATAAAAATAAAAAAAAGTCATCTGGATACACGGATCGGTTAAAATCACGATCCGCAATGACTCTACATACATAGATGATCACGCAAACAAAGATTAAAACTAAAGGCCTAAAGTTTTCGAAAATGTAAGAAGTGAAAGATATCCAGGTAATTTGTTTTCCACAAAATGTAAGAGTAAAAGTGGGTCAGAAAAATAAGTAGTGAGTAAAGTACTAGATACCAGAAAAAATGTCATTAAGTACAGTAACAAAGTATTTGTACTCCACTACTTCCACTTCTGACGCAACACACGAGCAAAGTTTGTACTTGCTACGTAACTTCCACCACATTTCATTATAGTACAGGACAACACATGGATGTAGCGGTTTGAACAACAACCTTATAAACACATACACGATACCTACACTATCTTTATGAAAGCATTCATGTCACTCTTCATGTTTTGAGAAGCATTTAGAGGAGAGGGACAATTGGAACAAAAAAACAAAAACAACAACAAAAAACAACAAACAAACAAAAAAAAAACCAAAAAAAGGCTCTTAGTCTGACGACAATGTTACAACTTTGTGAGACTATTTATTGAAACACTCGTGTGTATTCCTTTAAAGACGGAGACACGGAATGACTAACGACTGAGAATCACTGTGGCGAGGTGTGTGTCAGAAACCTGAGAGTCGACCGCTCGGTATCCCAGTAACTAAGGGCGGAATCTTATATTATCAGAAATAGAAAACAACAGAACACAAGATACCAAGTTTTATAACCTCAATCTGATTACCGCTATGGAATCATACTTGGTAGTCTCAAACGAAGTGCAGTCTGCTGTAAAGTCTTTAATTATTGACTGGTCCAGATGTTTTCCAAAATCTTTGTCTGAGGAACTTTCCCACGGACATATTTATTTTGCTTGTTTTTGGGTTAAGGTTTGGGATGTTAATTCCCAAATGAATCCCATTCTTATATTAAAATTCTCCCAAAAAACACAATCATTTAGCCAAGATATCTAATATTCGTATTGCTGTTCGCGACATCACTTCAGATTAAAACAAATAGATATACAAAGCTAAGAAGACGTTTATGTCATTTTCCGGTTTCATATTTAGTATTTTATCTCTACTCGTGAAATGTCTCCATGCTTTAAACTGTTCAAAAAGCTCTTTATTGTTCTCATACTGCCCTGCAGCACCTATTTCCATCCACCCCTCTGTCTGAAACCAGAGCCAGTCTGCACTGATTGGTTTTGGGAGCCATGACAACGTTATGTAATTTGTTTTGTTTAAAGTATAAGATTATTGTGTTTGCACCACTATTGATTGGTGCTTGGGTCACATGGATATGGGCGGCCACTTCATTATAGATCCCTGTTCACCTGCGTGAGGTGTGGGTGTGTGGAAGAGATGGTGACACATTCTGTAACGTTCACAGATGGAGGTCCGGAAACAGCGCTTCCAGTTATTAGGCTTTAATAACCTCTTTTTTCCTTGGATGATCACAGGTACCGATAATAGCTTGCAAGGTTCAACCTCACACTCTCTCACTCTAACTTTCACACACACACCCATTTATATCCCTGTCTACGTCACAACTTCCAGCCCTCCCCCGTCTGCACCCCCAACCACAGGCCCGCACCTCAACCAGCATCACGGTACAGCTCTATGATTGGCAGAGAGACGGGGGATACCTGAGTGACACCCTCAGCATCCTATCAGGGTCGCTACAATACTTTTTGGTTGACCGCAAGTTTAATGATTGCTTTGATTACTATAACAATGTATATGTCCAAGGAAAATAAGTTGATCATCCCAGATTTCATTAAACTACATTATTTTTCAACAGAGTTTTTATTTCTCAGCAAGTACTTTTTTGTAGCGTGTCACACAATATCAAACAGGCCCGACCTCAGCCTCTCAGCGATTTTGTTTGTTTTCTGCTGTCGCTATTGGTTAGCTGCCCGGCTCTGTTGTGATTGGTCAACCGCTTAGAGATGTCCCTTCCCTTAGCCTATCACGTACAATGCGTTGGAGCGCTAGCCAAGAGAAGTGCGAGTATTACATAGTGATGTCACTATGTTGCAGAAGTAAACAAAGGAGTCCAATGGAGGGGTTTCATGAAGGGGGGGAGAGAAAACTCCCTCTGAGCCTTTGCAGCCCATTTACATGCACAAAAACCTATACAACACACAACAGGAAAGAGAAAACTCCAAAAAGATATGGCCTCTTTAAGTCACACCCATGGTCACAGTGGCATACATAATAAACCCTTTTCATTTACAGCCTAAAGCCCATATTGTACATTTCTGCTGTGTGGCAACATTCACATGTCCCAGGTCACGATGTGGTTTCTAACTAACTGAACAAAATACTGATGTGGTGTTGGTGCTTCTATTTAGTGCAGTTTCCACAAAACAAAATACCTAATCATCAAAAGGAAAATTACAACATATCTGGTTTTATGGCCTTTGACAAATTCCTGTTTGTCTTGCATGTCTGTGGTTCATGCTGGTATTGGTCTTTCACTGTCTGTGCATTATGGGTTAAATGCAGTGAAAAGGGATCCTCTAAAGCAGGGGTGTCCAAACTACGGCCCGGGGGCCAAAAGCGGCCCGCGGACCATTTTGAATCGGCCCTCAGCAAATTAAAAAAGTATAATGTAATACGGCCCACAAATGAAACTTGAGCTTTTCTTGTATTGTACTTGTTAAATATATCTGTAAACATATATAACACAGTAGTATTCATGTGTTAATAGGACCAATTTACAATAAATTCAGTCAATTACATTTAAAAAAAAGTTCTAACAAATCTAAGTCGATAAGAAAAAAGCCCAATAACTTATATACATAACAACCTTGAAATACAACCTTCCTATTTCTCCATTATAATCAATCTGAGGTTTCTGTTTTAATGGATGAGCTGCCAACACTCACAAGCATCATTTACCTACATTTGATTGATTTTGCTAACTTATAACTGAACTTATGAGGCGATATACCTCTAGTGAGTGGCCCGGCCCTTCAAATATTTTTCTGTATGTATAGGCCCTCTGTGAAAAAAGTTTGGACACCCCTGCTCTAAAGCCTCACTAGCATCCTCTAGAGTCTGCAGGTTTTATTACATGCAGCAGTATCGAAGAAAAAAAGCAGCATAAGGACCTCTGCGGAAATAACATGTGAAGTTTGTCCAGATTCAACGAAAGGCCTTGTGGTCAGTGTTTTAAAAATGGGGATTTGAACCTGCTTTTATTTATTGTGTATATGTGGAAATACTAGTGGCATGATGATGGTGCCAGTGCAAAGATGAAGGGGTCCACTGTTGCTTTTATTTCAATAATTAAATGATAACTTTAAATACCAATTAAATCTTCTTATATTTTGCCCTAAAGTTTGAAATGTATTGATATATATATAAAGTGAATAGAGTATAGATAAAGATATATATATAAAGTGAATAGATGTATAGATAAAAAAGTCATCATATTGCATGTTGTTAAACAATCGCAGTCAAGGATAGAGCCATATTATGCATGTTTACATCAGAACTTGCTTACTTACAACTCATACTAAGGCAATCTCTTTCAATCAAGTAGTTTTCTTTATGGATCCACAGTTTTAGATTTAACAACACAATTCAACCCTTTACATGCGTTTATACATATCATTAAAAAACATGTTATCTCCATCAGCATCAGTTTTAATTAAAAAGTAGTTTGCAGTATTAGCAATACAAGTCAATACAACATGTGTTTACTATAATGTAAACATAATTGTTCATTCTTAATCAGCGTAATATACACACACCAAAATGCAATTCTGATATTTGTTCTTCTTTCGGTAAAAAAAAAAAACTCATAACAGAGGTGATCTTTAATAAAGGGTAACGACCGACCCTATTTACTTTTATCCTCCATTCAAATCAATGGTACTTTAATGATACTAGGCAAAGATGGACGAAATAGGCCCGACTTGACTATCAAATCCTGATTTTCATGCCGAGTTGTAACATGGAAATAAAGCAGCGTCCACCGTGTGAACCGGTCTGATAATCTCCCTCCTCCCTCGATCGCACTGTGAGGCCTGCAAATAAAAACACAGAGATTTGAATTCAGTAAACAATACATGATAACTACCTTTTATTATATTTCAATCATGGGGACAAGTAACAGAAACATCAATGCTTTATTTCAATATGTCCAAAACACATTCGCTCACTCAAATTGACTGTATACTGTAGCTACAATTATATTTTTATATAATTCTGACGCTTAAATGACTTTACTATAAAAAGCCACTATTCACTATCCTACTGCAGTTTCATTTGCCAAAAAATATAGACTTTCACAGTATAATTGTATGTTTTTTATGTATCTATGATTATCTTTTAATTGGAAGAGCACACATTGACAATCTCTACAATATTTAATTTAAGTTCATGTACTGTAGCTAACAGCTGAGTGTTATTAGGGTCTTGAACGCAGACCTTTTTCAGGGCTATTTTATCATTTTTAAATCAGAAATAATACTTTATTTACTTTGGGGTAAGTTAGGTTTCATGACCGTTACTCTATTTGAGTATGTATGAATCAAATATACAAAAACATATTCAAAAATAATAAGTAAGAATGTGCAAAAATGTAATTAAAATGCATACAAACATAAGAAGTTAAAGTAAAAATGCTCAATAAAAGGTTACAAAAATGAATAACTTAGGCGTACAACAATCTTCCACCACTTCAATTATAGATATAAAATAATAACAATAAAATATAGGGATACAAATTCAATATAATGCTCTGACCTGGAGGTACGTAATGACTATGAGGACGAACAGCACCAGTATCACCAGGACGATCACAGCAACACTGACTGGTGCCGCCGTCTCTTCATCCTCATCTTCCTCTCCTTCATCTTCTTTGTTTGAAATCTGTCTCTGAGCCTCCGGCGCCGGACAGTCAGAGCTGCCTGAGGACAGAGTTAAAGGATGAACAGAGAGTAAGAATGATGTGTGAACGGTGGAATCAGTGGGGGCAATATTGTTGAAATATGCAGGTCACCTAAGATGTGAATGAGGGTGCCGTTTCCAGTGAACCGCAGGTACGGTGGAGGGTAGAAGATCTCTATGTCACAGCGATACAGATCTGTGTCTGTGGCTCTCAGTCCAGATACCGTCAGCTCCAGAGCGCCCTCTCTCCTCTGAGCAGAGCACTGCACCTAAAACGCCAGGAAAAACAATTTAATGGAAGAATTTAAAGGGGCCCTATTGTGCTTTGTGGGGTTTTTGCTTCCCTGCAGTGTGATATAAAGGTTTTTGTGGATGTAAATGGTCTGCTAAGGCTCATAACATGTAACAATCAAGCTTCTATTAGCTAGCGCTCCAACACGTGTACGTGATAGGCTAAGGGAAGGGACATCTCTAAGCGGTTGACCAATCACAACAGAGCCGGGCAGCTAACCAATAGCGACAGCAGAAAACAAACAAAATCGCTGAGAGGCTGTTTAATGAAATCTGGGATGATCAACTTATTTTCCTTGGACATATACATTGTTATAGTAATCAAAGCAATCATTAAACTTGCGGTCAACAAAAAGTATGTGTCACCCTCTCTTCCACACACACACACCTCACGCAGGTGAACAGGATTATAATGAGTGCCGCCCATATCCATGTGACCCAAGCCAACCAATCAATAGTGGTCAAACAAATATCTTATATTAAAACAAAACAAATTACTATACACGTTTCATGGCTCCCACATAACCAATCAGTGCAGACTGGGCTCTGGTTTCAGACAGAGGGTGGAAATAGGTGCTGCAGCACAGGCAGTATGAGAACAATAAAGAGCTTTTTGAACATTAAAGCATGGAGACATGTCCCAGTAGAGAAATATAAACCTGATATTGAGCAGATTATGGCCCCTTTAACATATAGTCTTGTTAAAGACACAATGTGTACTTTCTGCCACTAGGGGGCTCCTGATCACAAATAAGAGAAAGGAAGGTGTAACAGCTGAATTTTCCATCCTCTCCAAAACAAATAGTCTAGATTCGTAAAACGCTGGTGGCCGAAGTACATTTAATTTATTTTTCTTACTAAAATTAGATAAGACAAAAGTTATTTTTAAACTAGTTTTCTAGATTTTAGAAAATGTCTTTTCTATGGGCCTTTAACACTAGATTGCGCCACGGCAGGGCTGTGCATATGTCACTTTTTTTCAGTAGCATGTCTGTGCAAACTGCATATGCACGGAAGTCATATGTCGATAAGTTAATGTATTTTTCTTTTAATATGTAGCATGTATGGGTTTTATCTCCTCTCCGACTCTCGGACGAGGGAGTCTAGAACCAATTTCATTATCGGGACAATAAAGTATCGTTTCATATCATTTTGGTCAAAGTTGGAATAATTTAAAGGTCTCCTATTATACCGTTTTTCATCAATATATTACAGGTCTCAGATTTATACAAAACATGTCTCTGAAGTGTTTGTCTCC